GGTTGGCGTCAAATACGCTACATTTCTGAAAACCTTCCATCGCATATCAAAAGTGGCGTATGGAAGTCTGATACGTTCCCTTGTGAGATGGACCGAAGCGGATCGAAATGGACTAGGGAGAGAGATCAAGTCAATGGGACAACCGGAATGAAACCCTCAGCTGTCCGCTCCATTAATATTTGGTTTAATATAATACACGGTCCGTCAGCACGGTTGGACAAAATTAATCTGATTATAACACGTTAATTATTATAACTAGTTTATAATAGTTAATTTGTAATATTTAGTTATGATGATAATTTATAATAGATATTTTATTACTATAATATTGAAATAACTAAAATTTTTAGTTATTATGATAATTTATAATAGATATTTTATATTATTATAATATTAAAATAACTAAAAATTAGTATTATAATCTATAATGACTACTATAAATTAGTTATAATAATTAACGAATTAATAACTATTATAAGTTACTATAATATCTACAAATTATTATAAATTAACTATTATAAATTAGTTGTAATAACTAACGAGAATAATTAGATATTATTGTAACAATTTATAATAATTATTATAAATTAGTTATAATAACTAATGAGTTAGAATCGTTAATCATCGATCAGATTACTTTTCTCCCAAGCTTATTGATCGCTAGCACTACGAAGAATGAACTACTTCGGATCAAATCCATATGCAAGTAGAGACTCCTTTATCCGAACATTTATCCTTCGAATATTCTGGTATCCAAACGATCTATTATCTAATCATTCTATTATTATCTAATTATTATCTAAACTAACTTATCTAAACTCTAATTATTAACTAATTATTAAATATTATCTAAACGTTATCACCTAATAGAGAATTTGAATAAAATTTTTAGATAATAGAACATTTTGGTGTCAGAATATTGCAAAAATAGACGTTCCGGTAAGAGAAGCTGTACTCTATCACAGGATCCGGGTAAATAGATTTGTGGACAATCGACTTACCTTCTGCTTGTCGATCATTTGCATGATTTTATCGACATCGCCGACAACGACAGCCTGTTGTCGTGACATCTCTTCTTCAACTGTCAGCCAATCACGTATCTGAAACAGAACGGATACATCGAAGCTTGCTAACTTTTCCTTCACAATCGCACAATAAACTGTGCATCCCATCCAAGCTAATTTAATAGTTGCATGCATTACTTTCACAATTCGCCCACGCAGCGTTCGAGATAATTATACCAAATATTCACACGCAAATCGCAGATTCGCTCTGAACGAACTGCCAGAACGCGTAATACTAATAAATGTGGCTAGACATCGCTCGCTGCTTCTGTTTGTATGAACTGTACACGAATCATCGCGGCAAATAACAAGAGATACCGCACTGCTATCCATGTTTGTTAACATTGAGCAGCGTGTAAATAATACACGAAATTCAACGATTCCTCCCGTGCAAGATATTTCTGGAAATATTTCTTCTGGAAAATATACTCTTGTAATAATCTTAATAATATCATAGTTAGAACTACAATAATATTTTCTAAAAAGATATTTTCTCTGAAATTTAGAATAATCATCCAGAATATTAACAATCTCACATAACTGTGTGTTTACTAATGTAAGTAAACTAGTCCCACTAATTCTTCAAAAAATTCAAATCATTTCGTCGAATTTGAAGAAAGTTATTCTGTTTTAAAAGATGTTCGAATATAAGTGCGAATCATTGTGTACACAGGGTGTCCCAAAAATGTCTCGCAATCCGAAAGTAGCGAGTTCCTCGGGTAATTTGAAGCAACTTTTTCCTTTACAAAAATGTTCTCCGAGGCACCGTTAACGAGTTATTAACGGAAAACAGTGACCAATGAGAGGCGAGCTCGGCTGGCGCGAGGCGACCGAGCCAATGGGCGGAACTGGGCTTCGCGCGCTGGTTGGCTGGGCCGCCTCGCGTCAGCCGTACTTGATTCTTATTGGTCACTGTTTTTCGTTAATAACTCGTTAACGGTGCCTCGGAGAACATTTTTGTAAAGGAAGAAG